CCCTGGCTGTGGCCGGGGTGCCCTGACATTTCCACTCCCTACCGGAACGTGCCCTTTTCAAATACGTTTTTTTTCCTCTCCATTACTTTTAATTGCGGCCTCAGTTTGCTTCCGACACCGGAACAAGGTGAAAGGTCATTTTTCAAATGAGCTCCGCGGCCTTCCTTGCGGTGGGGTGCAGGACGCCCCGCCTTGCTGCGCTCCTCGGTGCTCGGGGAGACGTCTCCTCAGCAGTTGCTGCTGGCGCGAATGGAGTTAGTGTTACAGTTGTAGAAACCAAAAAAGAGGTTTCGTGCCACTTAGTTTTAAAGGTTAAGTTAAAAAAATCAGAGCACTGCTGTTGCTTGCGTATGAAGCGTGGATGTCTTAATGAACTTAAAGTACCCTGTTCTTTAATCCTGCCTACTGCACGCTTAACCGACACATCAATTTTAGTAGCTCAGGCCCTTTTATTTAATGTGGGAAGCTCACGTTAATACTGGCTCAGGTGTCTTGTCCCTCTTTTTAAAACAAAATGCTTAGTACCCCTGAGTTGTGATTTGGTAAGAACGGTTGATATTCAGATGCCTGAATGTATGTTTGGGTTAAAAATAGAAGTGATACTGTCTTAAACCCAACAAATGTCTGTGGTGAGTTTTGACAGAACTAAACTCCTGTGCAAAAATAAATCTGTTTGAGGTGTGATAAATTACCTTTTTCAGGATCAAAGCCTTTTCCTCGCTACGGCTATAAACCTTCACCACCAAATGGTTGTGGGTCCCCTCTGTTTGGAGTTCAGGTCAGTATTTCCGTTTGGGGGCTGCTTGGTCTGTCTTTCATACATCAGCTTTCCTCAATGTGGGCGGTGTTTTCCCTCCCCCCTTCTAAGGATGAGACAGCATCTACGTAGTGTCCCTGCTTTTATCAGCTCCAGCACATGTGTTCGTAGAAACACATGGAAAATGTTAGTATGATAAGTGAACACAGCATAAACATTTGCACCATTGGCATAAAATATTATAGGGATAAAACAGAATGATGATGATTTAACCGTGTTTTAACCGTGTTTTGTTCCTACAATCTTGAAAGCGCTGAGTAACCCCAGGTGTAGCCCTGTGAGAGTGGAGGGTTTGGCTCTGACTCTTGCTGTCCTTAGTGATGCTAATCCGTTCTCCTTAACGCTGGAAAGAAAATCCGTGTCCGCTTGTGTAATGGGTCTGGCTGGGGTGGCGTTAGCTTTCTTCATAGCAGGCTGCATGGCACTGTGTTTGGGATTTTTGGCTAAAACTGTTGATGGTTTTGGCTGTTGCTGAACAGTGACTGCACAGCTTTGGGACTTTATCTTCTTTTTTCCTCGCTCTGGCACCCTGCAGCATGGGCTGGGGCTGGGCAGGAGGCTGGGAGGGGACACAGCTGGAGCGGTGGACCTGAATCGGCCAGAAGGATATTCCGTACTACGCAGAGTCATGCACAGCAGTAAAAACGGGAGTAGTGGAAGAAGGGGAGGGGTGGGTGCTTGGCTTCTGAGGTGGCTGTTGCTCAGAGACTGGCTGGGCATCTGTCTACTTGTGGGATGTGGTGAATGATTGCTTTTGTACTGCTTATTTTGGGACATTTTCCCCCCTCTTTCATTCACCTCTTGGACTGTCTATATCGTGACCCACAAGTTTTCTTGCTGTTGCTGTTCCTATTCTCTCCTCCCCTCTGTGGAGGGGGGAGACAGAGTGAGCAAGCAGCTCTGGGTGCTTGGCTGCTGGAGAGGGCTGAACCACCGCAGCTTACCAGAGGGGAACAGCAAAATACAGAGATAAGTGAATGATGGTCGGACTGATGGCGTCAGTTTTGAATTTATAACTGTTATAGTCTATTCATAGGCTACTGTCCTGGTTTCAGCTGGGATAGAGTTAATTTTCTTCCCAGTAGCTGCTATGTTTTGGATTTTGTAGGAGAAGAATGTTGACAACACTGATGTTTTTAGTTATTGCTATGCAATCAAGGACTTTTTTCAGTTTCCCATGTTCAGCTGATGAGCAGGTGTGCAGGAGCTGGGAGGGAGCACAGCCAGACAGATAGCCAAGTACCATAGACGTCATGCTCAGTTTATGAATGGGGGTTAGCCAGGGGGGCAGGAACACATTTTTCCATGAGTTCGATCTTTTCTGTGAGTTCAGTGAAATCCGTGAGTTTGCAGTCACTGCGCGGGGACTGGCTGCACAACCGGTCGTTGGGTGGTGGGAAAAATGGTATTGTGTGTCACTTGTTTTGTATGTTCATTATTATTATTATTCCTTCCTTTGTTGTCATGTTGAACTGTCTTTATCTCAGCTCAGGAGTTCTACTTTTTGTCCATTCTCCTCCCCAACCTGCTGGAGGCAGGGAGGAGAGGGGGACAGATCTGCCGACCGGACCCATCCCACAGGGAAGTCTGCTGCCTCCCTGGGGCCCGGGTTAGGGATGTTGCTAAGGAACTCCCTGGTCTGGTGCGGCCTTCTGATTACTACCCCCTCTTGGTAGTGGTAGGGCAGTTTGGCGGGGACGAGATCGCAGAGAGAAGTCCCAAGGCCATCGAAAGGGACTTCAGGGCACTGGGGCGACTGGTTGAGGGATCAGGGGCACAGATGGTGTTTTCGTCCATCCCATCAGTGGCAGGGAACAGCACTGAAAGGGGCAGGAAAACTCACCTGGTTAACAGGTGGCTCAGAGACTGGTGCCATCAGTCAAATTTTGGCTTCTTTGATCATGGGGAGGTGTACACAGCACCGGGACTGCTGGCGACAGGTGGAACTCAGCTATCTCAAAGGGGAAAAAGGATTCTTGGCCACGAGCTGGCGGGGCTCATTGAGAGGGCTTTAAACTAGGTTCGAAGGGGGAAGGGGATATTGCCCAGCTCACTAGGGATGAGCCTAGGCTTGGAGTGCCAAGGCCAGGGGTGAGATTGACAGCCCAGCTCAAGTGTGTTTACACCAATGCACGTAG